GGGGGGGCAGGCCTGACCTGGTGGCGGAGTGCGAGGGGAGGAGGCAGTGGTGCAAGGGAGGGGTGGCCCCAAACCCAAACTGCCAGGGGGAACAGGGTTATTCTTGTCAGGCAATTGGCTAGTGATGAGATAACGATAATTGTCTCTGTGGATGCAGGGAGAACACTGGACGTGAAATACCTTGACTTTAGCAAAGTTTGATACAGTCTCCTACAATATTATTGCAAGTAACCTAAGGAAGTCTGAGTTGGATGAATGGACTGTAAGGTGGACAGAAAACTGGCTGGATGGTCAGGCTTGAAGGGCGAGTAGTTCCCCAGATCTTCCTCTTGAAGATGGGCACTGTATTTGCCCTTTTCCGGTCATCGAGGACCCCTCTGAATTGCCACGAGTTTTCAAAGATAATGGCCTGCAGCTCTACAGTCGCACTGACTAATCAATAGCTCAATATCTATTTGGCAGCCGGTATCAAGTGGAGTTTCCCAGGGGTCAGTCCTGGAGCTGGTTTTGTTCAATATCTTCATCAGTGACCTGGAAGGAGTGCACTCTCACTAAGTTTGCAGACGACATGAAGTCAGGAGGAGTAGAATTCAGAGAGACCTCAACAAACTGGAGGATTGGATCAAAATCAAATCTCATGAGGCTCTATAAAGAGACTTTCAAAGTCAACGATGGAACAATTCCATGCAATGGTACAGGCTGGGGGCTGCCTAGATAAGCAGCATGTCAGGAGAAAAAGACCTGGGGGTTACAGTTGACAATAAGGTGAATATGAGCCAACAGTGTACCCTTGTTATGAAGAAAGCTAACGGCATACTGGGTTACATCAGTAGGTGTACTGCCAGCAGATCAAAGAAAGTGATTCTTCCCTTCTGTTTGGCACTGGTGAGGCCACATCTGGAGTGCTGCGTCCAGTTTTGGACCCTCCACTACAGAAAAGGTATAGACCAATAGTCTCCAACCTTTTTAAGTAGGAGATCACCTTTGGCATTTAAAAGCAACTTAAGATCTACCATGCACCACCGCCACCGCCACCCCCATCCAGCAGTTACGTTTGTGGGAAGGGAAGGTGTGGGGGGAAGATCGAGGCAGAGGGAGAAAAAATTATTTGGGGGTGCACCTCCCCAGCAGGTAGATTCGCTCCTAGCTGGGGCCCCACCGAACTTACCCCTGTTCCTGCCTCTGCGGCACTGTCCCTCACTGTGGGGGCCTCGATCCCACCCCTTCCCTACCCCACGGACTGACCTGCTGGGCTGGTGTGCGCGCATGCATGCACACGGGAACTCAGCCCCTCACCCCAGCCTTGGATCAACTCCAAGAGGCTCCAAAATCTACTGGTGGATCGAGATCCGCTGGTTGGTGACCACTGGTGTAGACAAATTGGAGAAAGTCCAGCAGAGAGCAACAAAACTGGTTAGGGGGCCAGGGCACATGACTTCTGAGAGGCTGGGCAAACTAGGTATATTTAGTCTGGAGAAGAAAAGACCGAGGGGGGAATTTAATAGCAACCTTCAACTACCAGAAGGGGGGGGGCGGTCCAGAAAGGATGACGGTAGGCTGTTCTCATGGGCCACAGATAAAGCAAGGAGCAATTACGGCAAGGGAAGTTTAGGTTAAATATGACGAAAAACTAAGAGGGTAGCAAAGCATTGGAACAGGTTACCCAGAGAAGATGTGGAATCTCCACCCTTGGAGGTTTTTAAGACCTGGCTAGACAAAGCCTTGGCTAGGATGATCTAGTTGGGGATGGGCCTGCTTTGATCAGGGTTTGGACTATATGACCTCCTGAGGTCCCTCCCAACCCTCATTTTCTATGATTTATGCTCTTTCCTTCTGTGTACATGAGAAGGAGCCTAGACTACGTGGTAACTAGCTGGACGCTCAGCTAAGAAAGGGGAGTCCTGGGTTCCAGTCTCAGGCTATTAAACAGTTATTGAGCAAGAAATAGTTAAAAAGGAAGAAATAATCATGGAATCAGTGACTGAACCAAGTGCTTTCCTGCAACCCCGGAATCAGGCACCTAAGCTCCAGAGAGAGCAGCATTTCTGAAACACTACTGTGCTTGGTGTTTCCTATTGGCCAGCTCTAGGTAGCTTTCTGCTCAGCATGTACTGTTTTTGGATCATCCTGTAAAGCCACTCTTCCCATGCACTGTACAGACAGCCTAGATATTTAACACTGGGTTTAGAATGTCACCCTCAGAAATCACGTGCCCCCGCACCTGATCTGTGGGTGTCCAAGCACACACAAGTCCCACTGAAGATAATGGGACTACTCAAATGCGTTACATTAATATGCATTTAGTAATTTATTGCTTCAGAGAACCAGAAGGAAACAATAACTGCTGTCTCATCTACCATATGGGTGAGTCTAGAGCTGTTCTAAGATGATTACCTTTCCCAAGGGACTGAGCATTGAGAACTCCCAAGTCTTCCCTCACTGTGGGAACAAAAGACCAGGAACTCATTAAAAATCCACTGTTTCTTTGAAACAATACCTACAGCTGTACACCACAGGCTTAAGCAATATTAAAATAGTTTCTCTGCTCTGACTCTATAACATTTCAGCAGCAGGATACAAGGTCCCTTTGGGTCTGCAACAGAAGTGCAAAGTAAGAGGATCTTCAGCAAGGGCAGAGCAGAAATAGCACATGCTGAAATATTTAAACATCCTTTTAAGCCCTGGGCATTATATCCATTCAGGAAGCACTTCCCTTCAAAATTCTCCAGTAATAATACAGAAATACAAAACCAGGAAACAACTCACAGCAGGATCAGGTACACAGCAGGAAAAGGGAACCCCACATTTCTCACGACTTTTGCTTTCACTGCTGCAGTTGAAGTATATGTTAAGATCCCAATCTTCTGGACCCTGAGCACCACAGCAATGGTTCTGCAACAGAGAAACAACACACTTGATATCATTTGGGTAATACAGAGATGAGAAAAACCAGCCCTGCAAGACGTTTACCTATCTTCGCTTTACAGAGATGATGCAGAAGCGGTTTGAGCAACTTGCCTATGACTACCCAGTGAATCAATGGCAAAAGCCAGAACTGGAGCCATGTACTAAGGGCAAACATATGTCACCGAATAAAGCAGATCACCTGTGCTGGAATGTATCCCAACACAGAAGATCTGCTACACTGAGCAAAATAGACACTGCCCATTGTCCCACAAGGTCAGGCCCCTGCTGCTCTGGAAACACCTCCAGAAACAGGGGAACACAGGTAGGCACTCCCAAGGCTTCAGAGGCCTAATGCTGTGTGCCCCAGGAGTAGCATTCCTGGGTGTGCAAAATCAAGCTCCTGAAGCCCTTAGAGTAATTACCCTTAAAGCAAACAGATGTCTGCCACAAAATAGCAGCACCTTGTATCACTTGCATCATGGCCACAGATTTTTGGAATTTGTGGTGCAGCAAAGGACATGGATGTCTTTTTGTCTGGTCTTTGTGCTGCCAGAAACATTTTTATGGCAGTACAAAGATGACTTCTGTTTCCACCCTAAAAAATTTCAGAACTGGGTTGCTTTCACTAAACCAAAGTATCTGATAAAAAATGAATTAGCATATTGGACTAAAGCAGCCATGTTGATGGAGGTAAATGTCAAATGTCACTACAGCTATCACTCTAAATAGCAGTATCTGACCAGAAGACATCTTGGCCTTCAAAATTACATTTAAAATTTCCCTACCAGGAGTACCATTGATCACACCAGATTCTGGAATACAACTATGGAAAAACATGGAGAACCTTGAAACACTGTCCACTCATGATGTACTGATTTCATAAATAAAAGGACTGAAGTCTCATGTTAATCAAGACAGTCACATCAGTCAAATTTTAATCATTACTGGCGTAGATTGTTGTTCTTCCATCTCTAAAACAGTTACACAAGTCTGACATTTAACAAATATGGAAATATCAGAGACTGAGACCTAGGGAAAATTAAGCGTTACTTGATGCATGGTAATTATATACTTAACCATAGGTGACTGGTATGGGTGACACGGATGGAAGGGGCGGGGGGAAAACATGTGCCCCCCCTGACAGGGCCGCCCCTGCCACTAGCAGCATCTGCAGGTGCTCGCCAGCTCCGCACCCGCAGACGCTGCCATCTGCAGGTGCCCTCCAGACTCAGGAGGCACCAGTCACCCATGTACTTAACCACAACTCAATAAGCAGTTTCCCCTCCCAATTTTTCTATGGAGTTACACTTTTAAAAAATATTCATATTTTATTGTATTTTTATTAGCCAATTTGGGACTATTTTTCCAACATTTTAATATACATAACAGTGATTTCAACTAAGACGATTTTATCCAATCAACCAAGCAATCTCTCGAAAATAAGGCGCACAAATTTCTCGATCAAGCAAAATTAAATTGTCTCCTATCTGTATTAAGTAATTTTAAAATGTTCAAATCACTCATGTATTTCATTGAAGTGAAAAATAATAAAACAATATCTTCATTAAGACTAGCATCTAACAATAACACTAAAGGAGAAATTGTTTTAGAAGGCACACTACTCTAAGAGATTGTGAAATTCAGGTAAAAAAGCATCAACTTTCAAGGAGAACAGGCTGAAGGTACTGGCTAGAATAAAAGTGAAATTGCCAAGAACTGGTCCTACGGCAGTACCTTCAACCTTCTGATTTATATTTGGAGGAAGCTAATAAAAACTGGGCTTCCTGCATCTTTCCCTCTCCCCCATGTTGAGTAACTTAAAAAATAAAAAGGTACAATTCTCACTAAGGATGCCAATCAAACTGTGTATGGGCTACAGAAAAGAAGCTGTATTCACACTAAGTCAAGCAGAATTAACTTTCCATTAGTCAGTGCAATGAGCTGCATACAAAAGGCTGTCCCAGAGGTATATCCCGAAGGTTCTGCAAGTTGGCCCATGCCTCATTAGAAGATTCATTTCAGTGCATCATTAGAAAAGTACAACAGTACCTTGAGGAAGGGTTTTTTCAATGTTACATGACTGCATTTACTGATCTACGTCAAGTTGTTTCCCTGTTCCCGTAGTGCTTTATCTGCTATGGCAGACTTATTCAGAGATGTTGTGTGTCTTTGTTGTTTCCATGTGGCTCATTAACTTGTCAGTTGAAATCCTTTTTTGGGAAGTTTAGCCTTTTACTTTTATTGAGAGTATTTAAAATCAGGGTTCAACACTAAACCATTCCAAGCTCTACTAGAAATTAGTCACCACTGAATTGCCTGTCAAGTGAATGGGTTGCACTAGACTTACATCGTACCATGTGCAGTAGGGGTGTGAGAAGTGGGCCCTATTCGATTCAGATTCGGGCCGAATCGGGGACAGTGATTCGATTAGTTGATTTGGATCACTGTCCCTGATTCAATTCAGCCAAATCCGAATCTGAAGATTCGATGCCGATTCAGAGAATCAATGATTCAGACATAGACACAGCTTTAAAAGTTTTTTCTGCATACCTCGAGGTACCAGCATGGCTCATGAACACTGTGATGCTGGGGTGGATGGGAGCATCCCACAGAAGAGTGCGGGGGGTCCCTCACGTGCTCAGCAGTGAACTCAAAAGTGGACTGGAAGTACTTTCAGTCTATTTCTGGGTCCATTGAGGAGCTCGCAGGGCCCCTTCCCCACCCCCCCCACATGTCCCTGGCTCAGTGACTGGCCACAGGGGGACCCCAGGTGCCCACCCAGACCCAAGAGTCACCAGCTGCTGAGCCGGGGGGTGAAGGGCCCCCACCCCCACATGCTCCTTGGCAGACATGGAAGTGGACTGGGGGTGGGTCTGCTGCCAAGTGTGCTGGGGAGTCCCCCGCGATCCTGTGGGATGCTTCCTGCGCCCCAGCGTTGCAGCATTCACGAGCTGCCTGCTACCTAGAGGTACGTAGAAAAAAACATTCAAAGCTGCGTCTATGTCCGAATCGCCGAATCTCTCCGAATTGATTTGGAGAGATTAAAGGGCCCTCTGATTCGATTCAGATTTGGCGATTCAGCCACTGAATTTGGACTGAATCTCCGCTGAACTGAATCAGGGACTGAAGCTTCGCATAGACCTAATACACAGATACTATGATTTTTTCAGACCAGCTGCAAAAAAATTACTACCCAGTTATTTACTTTAGAGTTGACAATATCCTGGTACATGGGTGTATACCATGGTCCTCTACTTCATGAAGTATTAACACTACACACACAAGCCCTTTCATAAATGTTCACCTGGCAATGAACAAAAGAACCTCCACTGTTTCAAATGGCTGAAGTCTCTTTGAGACAGAAAGACACTGTACTGCATCCCTATGTATACCTCCTCTGCTGGCGCTTGTAAGGAGGTAGTTAGATGGGCCAAACCTACCATGGAGCTGAGGGTGGCATCCCAAGTTAAGGACAACAAGAAATTGTTTTTCAGCTATATAGGGAGTAAAAGGAAGGCCCAGGGTGGAATAGGACCCCTACTAAATGGGCAGAAGCAATTGGTGACGGACAGGGGGGGACAAGGCTGAACTCCTCAATGAATTCTTTGCCTCAGTGTTCCTAAGTGAGGGGCAAGACGAGTCTCTCACTGGGATTGTAGAGAGGCAGCAGCAGGGCACCAGACTACCAAGCGTAGACCCTGAGATGGTGTAGAGTCACTTGGAGGAACTGGATGCGTTTAAGTCGGCAGGCCCAGATGAGCTCCATCCGAGGGTACTGAAGGCACTGGCTGAGCCACTGGCAGGAATATTTGAACACTCGTGGCGCACAGGCCAGGTTCCAGAAGACTGGAAAATGGCCAATGTGGTCCCCATTTTCAAGAAGGGGAGGAAGAAGGACCCAGGCAAATATAGGCCAGTCAGTCTCACCTCCATCCTTGGCAAAGTCTTTGAAAAAATTATCAAGGCTCACATTTGCGAGAGCCTGGAAGGAAAAACTATGCTGAGGCGAAACCAGCACGGGTTCGTAGCAGGTAGATCATGCCTGACTAATCTAGTCTCTTTTTATGACCAGGTTACAAAACGCCTGGACACAGGAGTAGGGGTTGACGTCATATACTCAGACTTCAGGAAGGCCTTCGATATGGTATCCCACACCATCCTGGTGAACAAGTTAAGAGGCTGTGACTTGGATGACTACACAGTCTGGTGGGTGGCGAATTGGCTAGAGGGT